GTTCTACTCATTCTTGTAGCAGATGGGCTAGCTCACCATCAGTTTAGCTGAAAAACATCGTTACAGTAGAGAATCTGCGAGTCAAATGTTCTAATCATTCTTGTAGCAGATGGGCTAGCTCACCATCAGTTTAGCTGAAAAACATCGTTACAGTAGAGAATCTGCGAGTCAAATGTTCTACTCATTCTTGTAGCAGATGGGCTAGCTCACCATCAGTTTAGCTGAAAAACATCGTTACAGTAGAGAATCTGCGAGTCAAATGTTCTACTCATTCTTGTAGCAGATGGACTAGCTCACCAATGCTTGAAGTTGTTGCGATGATTTATGCACCAAAATGTTGTATTTTAACTTGGGGGAGTACAGAAACAGTATAGCGTCATCACGCCAGGCTAAAACTGCTGCCTTTATAGCAACTACTATTCATTAAATAAAAGAAGAAGAAAAGGGGGAAACAAGTAATAAAAAATGTTTTGAAAAAAAAAATGATGATGTAGGGATGGCAATACCAAATAGTACAGAAACAAGTTAGGGATGAATACACAAAACCAAACAAAAATCCCTACATAATTAGCCACTGAGTCAATGTTAGAAGCTTATGTGAATTAGCCATTGTATTAGCATTATTCAATTAGAATGCTTTTATTTAAACTTGAATTCATGCAAATGAAATGAATTAAACATTTAGTTGTAGGTAAGAGTTTTTCTTGGAAAGATTTGGGGACTTATGTAGGGATTTTTGTATGGTTTTGTGTATTCGTCCTTACATTGTTTCTGTACTTTTCGGCATTGCCGTCCCTACATCATCCTTATTTTTTAATTTTTTATTATTTGTTTAGGCCAAAAGAGGTACAGATATCATAGAGCTTATGCACATGTTACTTATCTAAAGTTTCTTTGCTTTTAGACATATAGGAAAATTCTACAAGACTTCTCTACCTGAGTAATTGGCAGGGCTGGGTTTCGAGCTTCTGGCGAAGAAGGTTCTGGATGTTTGTTTGAAGGTGGAAGGTTCCGGCTTGTTCCATTTGTATCTTTTTTCTCTCCTCGTCTGTGAAGATCTAAAGTCATCAATACCAAAACAACTTAGGTGTAAAAATATGAGCATAACTCAGTCACTACCCAATATAAAAGTAAAGTGAAACACAGCGTGATACTCTATTTTCCTTTAAACTAAATTTCATTAATATAATTTGGTTCTGGCATGGCTTATGGTTAGGACACTCGGGTCACGATTTCGAATCTCGTCACAGAACATGCTCGTCCCTTTTAGCCGTGGGGGGATTATAATGTGACAGACGGTCAATCCCACTTTTCGTTAGTAAAAGCGTAGCCCAAGAGTTGGCGGTGGGTGGTGTTGACTAGCTTCCTTCCCTCTAGGCTATCACTTCTAAATAAGGGACGGCTAGAGTTAGTAGAATAGATTTACGATACAATTCCGAAAAAAACAAAACATTACTGGTAATAATATTTAAAACAGGATTGAATATTATTGTTATATGATTATTATTAATTTCACACTTCTGAGATCATTTTGTATTGTTGGCTTAGCTTAGAGGGTAGGTTTAGAGCTAGCTTTCGGCGGATAGCCGTACACAATTTTAAACTGACAGACTGCAAGAAAGCAGGTAGTCAACAGATCCCAGCATCAACTCTTGGGTTTCGGTTGTCTAGCCGAATAGTATGATTTGGCTGTTACTCTTATAGCGCACTCATGGTCCCATTGTGTGGAACACATTTTTTTTTTCGACAACAGGACACGAGCCTTGAACCTTCAGGTTCACATTCTGGGCACGATAACCACTAGCCACGCCTCTTCAAAATGGCATGTGGCAGTAAGAGTTACTTCAGAGTTGGACACATGTGAAACTAATAGTTATTGAGTGTTGAAAGCATGGTGGAAGTAAAAGTTACCCTATTTTGGAAAGTTTAGTTCACGTATGTAATATTACATGGTTTCATATAGTGATTTGTTGCCGATCGGATTTTTATTTTTATCTTCTATCTCGACAAAACCTTAGATAATTATTTTTTTTTTGCGAATCTGGTAAGTATATTAGAAATAGAATTAAAAGCTTGCCTTCTGACATTATGAAGTTTCTAAAAAATGATATTTAACTGAATAAATGATAGATGTTATTAGAAAATTAGATACAGGTACTGTATAGATATTTAACGTAAAATGATAAATAACTGTAAACACAATTTGTTTTAAAAACAGTTTGTCTTGGTGTTACTAGAAAAAAAAAAGTTTAAGTATATGATACACACACATTGTTATGTTCAACGTTATAAATAGGCACGCAGCATTTCCCAGTTATAACATTGAACCCGTCTTCCTCCACAAGGTGAAACAGCAAAGAATTATCTATATATAACAAAAGTTAACACTAATAATCTTATAAGAAATAATTTAGTTGGATTATTTGTTCAACTTGTGAGATTCATCAGGTTTGGGGCCTGGCATGGCCAGGTGGTTAGAGCGGTCGACTCCTAATCTGAGGGTCGCAGGTTCGAATCCCCGTTTCACCAAACATGCTCGCTCTTTCAGTCGTGGGGACGTTATATAGTGACGGTCAATCCCACTATCTCTTAGTAAAAGAGAAGCCCCAAGAGTTGGAGGTGGATGGTGATAACTAGCTGCCTTCCCTCTAGTCTTTCACTGCTAAATTATGGACGAATAGCGCAGATAGCCCTAGTGTAGCTTTGCGCGAAATTCAAAACAAACCAAAGCATTAATGGGTTTATCGCAAAACAAGTTTTTTACATTCAGGTCAACCTGTGGGATAGCGATAAGTCTTCGGATTTGTAACGTTACAATTAAGGGTTCGATTCCTCTCGGCGGACACAGCAGCTAGCCCGATGTGGCTTCGCTATAACAAAACACACACATTTACTTTTAGAAAAAAATTTCCGAATTGCCAATCAAACCAAACCAATTATCAGGTTTGGCTCCAAACAGTTTAAATACTTTACAGTCGTCTCCTCGCTAGCGCCCTCTTGGAAGTCAAAAAGTGAGGCAGGAGACGAGAATAATTACCACCCTCTGTCCGACCATCGCCTTTAGCTTCGATTTTTAGCTATTTTCTACTCCGAAAACAGGCAACTTAGAATGTAAATATTCTCGGATATTGCGATAATGTCTTTACCCTGCACATTCTTCCTTTCTCCTGATTCTCGTCAATTCGAAGTCTCATCTCTCTCTCTCGTCCTTGAGAAACGTGTATTGCCCACATTCACCCCTTTCTCACGACCTATCGTGACAGATTTATGAGCCTAAGTTAGCCCGTGTGGCCTGTTGAATTCCTTCGATAAACGAACACCCCTTTCCCACAAAGTTGAAATTTCGTGATTTGAGCACCACGTTCGCAATCCGCGGGTTCGAATCCCATTACCGAACATGCTCGACCTTTCAGCTATAGAGTAGCCCAAGGGTTAGGGAGTGTTGACTAGTTACCTTTCCTCTTGTCTATAGCTTCCAAATTAGGGACGGTTAGCGTAGATAGCCCTCAAGCAACTTTGTGTGAAATTCGTAAGCAAACTATTATTTACATTTATTTGTTAAACCAGTTTGTGTTAAAGAAATTACTGTGCAATGCACAACACTTGTATTTATATATATGCTTGCCCTTTCAACCGTGGGGGCATTATAATGTGACGGCCAGTCTCACTAGTCGTTGGTAAAAGAGCAGCTACCTTCCCTGCTAAATTAGGGACGGCTACCTGGATAAGAGATGGGCGCCACCAAGTAAAATCTGCCCGAGAATCACCGAGTATGTATTTTAACCACTAGGGCAAAAATAAATTGACATAGAACTGCAGTACAAACTACTATCCTGGAAGGGTAAAATATATTCTAGTATAAAAGCTTTCTGTAAAAGGAAGAACAACACAGCAATGTGGATACACTGTGTACATATATAACCTCCATTCGCAAGCTTCACATGTGAAATAAAATTAGAACGTGTAGATATGTGTACTCAAGCCCACAACGTCCCACACCTTAAAGTACCATTCCTTTTCTGCGACCAGTTGTGGGATTATAGTTTCCCCTAATAAAACAGAAAAGCAACGAATAAATATATATTTTTTAATCAATAAAAGAAATTACTATAAACAGAGTATTGGAGGTGATAAGTGAACCTTCTCTTCTGAAGTTAGCATTCCGGGCACCATATATATATATAATGGAAATATTTACTTTTAAGCAAATTTCGAAATGTGTCAATAAATAAATTTAAAGGTGAGAATCGTTACTAATAGATACTAAGTAAAAATAATGTAATAGTTTTACATGATCCAGACATTTTAAATAATGCGATAGAACAATGTTGTTTCAGTTTACACACACAATTTCACGACCCTGTAAAGAAAACCTTATTATAATTTGAAATGTATTGGTTGATTCACTTATGAATATACCAGTTGAATTTCTTAGTTTTAAAACGATTGCTAATATTCCCATAGGTGTTATAAGATTTCTTGTGATGCTTGTTTATACAAAACAAAACTTAAGTTCAGATTTACTTAAGTTAGCTCATAAATGCTTTAACTTGTTAGTTATTTTGAAATATCTGAGTGTTATAAAATACATTACACGAACTGGAACATACTACAACAGCTAATATATACAAACACTTAGTTTAGACAGAGAAACAAGAAAGTATTCTGTTGATGTAAGTATTTTTTACATCTATGGACTTCCTTCGTCCAACAGTAACATTCATTTAAATTTCATAAAACAAATGTCTATTTCTAAAGTAGACTTTTCTGTTGCTAGACTTAAGCATACTGATTTCCAACAAAATTATTTGTAATTTTCTTATTTAATAGACAATTTCAATAAAATTCAAAACTAATAATAATGGAGAATCTCCGTATAAAAGTGTAAATAATATCACATTAAATGATAACCTTTCTTACTATAAGCTACTTCACTCACAGCATGCCTGATTGTGTATTCACCACGCGCCAAGGCTGTCTTGGGCAATTATATCATGCTTGAGTATTTACGATTATTCATACAACTGACCGCCTATTCTAAGGGAATATTGATAAGGGAGGAGGAACGGTACATTACCACATTTTTTAGGTTTTATGGTATATTCCATTTTTCATTCTTCACGCCGTAGTTGTTATTGGCCTTGACATCTAAGGTTTTACAGGTGTGTGACCGCCCACTTCAGAATATAAGTTTTATTTATTACTCCAGCGATCGAATTATATTATAAGCTTTAGATTTTCTTTCCTGTTTCATTAAGGCCAAATAGAATCCCACAATGAGTAACAGCTTTTTTTTTTTTAATCAATGAGAGCAAGAAGATGCTGTTAAAGTTGGCGAGCTGTTCTTGAGATGTTTTAATTAATATAACTTTGTGTAATATTTATATATATATATATGGGTTACTTCCGCCCCCCCTCCTCTAGTGTAAGACACTGAATGCTCCAGAGTATAGTCATTTGTTGACAATTTACTCTGTGAGTGGCTGTCATCAAACCAGTAGTGTCACACCAGCATTATGCCTATATAAGTACAGGCAAATCTGTTATTCCCATTAATATCGTGGTGAATGTACTAATTCTTTGTTATGGATTTCGCGCGAAGCTACACGAGGGCTATCAGTGCTAGCAATCCATAATTCAGCAGTGTAAGACTAGAGGGAAGGCAACTAGTCATCACTGCCCACCGCCAACGCTTTTGCTACTCGTTTACCAACAAATAGTGGGATTGACCGTCACGTTATAATGCCCCCACGGCTGAAAGGGCGAGCATGTTTGGTGTGACGGGGATTCGAACCCGCGACCCACAGACTGCGAGTCGAGCGCCCTAACCACCTGGCCTTGCCGGGCCAGAATGCACTAATGCTTCTAGGACAGAAATGTCACAAGACAAATATCGTTGATTACAGCCAAACAAGAATATGCATTTGGATTAATCTGTTAAGACCATCAACCTCCAGCTCTGTTTATTCCTATTGTTTAAAGTCTCATGTCTATTTCTGTTTCCTGGTTTTGTTATTTCTTCAGAGCAGAAGATTTTGAGCAACACGAAATCACTGAGGACACTGTGTGCTAATATGTATCTTATTGTTCTGGAGATTACATTCACACCTGTATTTACAGTTAGGTCATTGTCAATATATTTAATCTTTTGTTGTGTATCACATACAGAGCATGCCCTGAGTTACCTAACTTGTTTAAATCAGACTCAAAGTACTTTCAGTTATTTTATAAGACATTTATTTATAAAATAACTTTTTTGTGGATTATCAAAAAAACAAAATATGTAAAAATGTTCCGAGCATCTTCATAGACTCTAACATGAAACACACTAACTCATTCTAAATCTGAAAGTCTCTAGTTAGTCAACGTAACTTTTTACTATATATTGTACATTTTAATATATAAATACAGTTTTTAAAACTACAAGAGAAAGATTCATTTGCATTTCTAATAATGTTAATTGTCGTAATATATCCTAAATTGCAGAATTGGAATTATAAGTTTTTCCACTGAGTAATGCCCTCTTGTCTTTTTACAGTACTTTGTTTATAACAAAGTCAACGGTTCAAGTTTTTAGGTTGACTATAAGCTACAATAAGATTAATATTACCTACGGCTTTTCTACAGTGCTACATGTGCAGGAAACAATCAAGGCCTTGCACTCTTTAATATTAACATTTAACCCTGGGGTATACAAAGTCATGACTGGTAATTACTTTTAACTGATTATTAGCTTTTGGAACGTATAATTTGGCGCGAAATATACAGTTGTGAATAAGGCCCTCTGGAGAATTTATATTTAATTTTAAAAAAATAATTTGTTTAATCTTATACTTCTTTTTCGTTATTGTTAACAATCTGTACAATTCTCTTTGCTAACGTATATGTATTATACTTTCACACAAACATATACACATATAGGTTTTTCCCTAGTACATAATGTACAAACATTTTGTAAAGCCCAGATTTTGTAATATATGATAGCAACATCAGTGGTATTATGCATCACCCCTATGAATCATTTCCATGTTTTTCAGTTTATAAAGCTGTTCAGTTCTATGCAATAGCAACAATTATTTTACTAGCAATACTGATGCAATAACAAATTAATAACCATTTTTATTTAAAAAGAAATACCACAAAATAAATAGTTAACAATTAAGATCAGTTCTTATAAATATCATTGTTCTTATAACTACATGAACAACAAGCTTAAAAGGTAATTATTGTCTTAATTATATATGAAAACTTTTTTTAAAGAAAGTTATGTAAATGGAAAAACCAAATCTTTGTATGGAGCATATAAGCTTTGTAAATAAAATGTATGCTGAGATGGAAGCCATTGACAAGACCACATTCAACCAAATTAACCGTGAGATACATAAGGAATAGCATAAAACAGTATCAAACCTAGTGATATTGCAGGAAGAAAGTTCGCGACCCTTATCGATATTTCAGTCCAATGGCCATCGATCTGAGAGAGACGGTATGTAAAAGGTTTAATTTAACGCAGAATCACTATAAACAACGTTATTTATGAAACACAATCTGAGGTACCCAACCTTTGTCCGGGCTAGGAACTTAAAAAATGTAGGTGGTAGATGCTACGATAAATAATACAAAAGTTATGATTTTCACACAACTTATTTATAACATAACATATTATTACAGTATTCATTATTACCTCACCCACAGTTTTGTATAAGTTTTAAGAGCTCAATACGTATATGCTTAAAACATGATAAACACTATGCGATGGTCAAAGTGACTTTGTACGGAGCGGTAGCGACCAAAGTAGTGGCTGTAGGGGGTGCTTTCTGTTAGCCGCTTTCAACACCCAGCTATTAATGTCCTTCCATACTGTTTCACGTAATTAATGAACTGACGGTCATTGGCCGTAGGAGCGTCTTACGGGATGAGGTTGTAAGGTCACGGGTCAAAGATGGAAGCGGTTATAACTCAAGAAACGGCTTTTCATATCAGCGTTATGGTAGTTGGTGTAGTAGAAACTTCATCTGACTTTATGTATTATTGCAACAGTGGCAGCCATCTTTTTTATTGCATTCCTCCATAGAGAGTGCTAACGCACCATCTGAGATATATAATACGTTTGTCTGCTTTACCCCCATATTGTGTGTATGTGGTATTATAGAAAATTTATTTTTTTTATTTTGGTTTGGTTTGGTGTAAGGACGTCACGTCATCTGTGAATGTAGTTAACGTTAACAGCGATAATAGGAGATGGAGAGGTTAGTGAACCTCCATTAACATGCTCCTTGTTCCAAATTATCATCACACAAAATTTGTTTGAGAGTGTCCCAGCGACCTAGGAGTAGTTAGATAACGGACAAACAGACAGACACACAGATTTTTTTTGTACTTTATATATATATATATATATATATTACTTAAAGAAGCCACAAGGAGTTATAAATCTCAAATTTCTTTCATTTGTTTCCGCGAATGTATTTTGTCGTGTTTTTTTTATGATTCAAAATATGCCTAAATAGTTTGTATGTGTGTACGAAACAATACATGAGGACCAATCGAATGTCTTCAAATAATGTGCAAGTCAACTAACAGGCGTCGTTTTTATTTTATGCCTGTAGTACGTACGATGACAGGATTTTACGTATTAAAGTATTATATGGCCTATCTGTTGTAATCTGTTTGTTTGCCGGCTAGCTTGTTAACTACTGACTATAAAAAAAAGAAAGTTTAGTACTACCTTAAACTGTCTAGAGCTTCTCTTGATTTACAACATACCTGTCAGAGAACGGACAGTGTTCAAAGGTGATACAATGTCTTCCATTAGGTGAGGATTCCGCTGAAACAAAAGAAAAACATCAGCTGAATACACTCGTTCAATTCTGCTCAAACCATAAAGACCTAAAGAACTCTACAACTGCATGTCGTAAAGCCTTATTCATTTTCAAAATTATTACTTAAGACTACTTTATTTGGCCTATTGTCTGTATCCAGACGCATTTGAATTCTCCGTATAATTTTAACAATATTTTTGTACTTAATAACAACACACACACACACATATACACAGAAAATTTTGTAGTGAAAATAACTTAAACTATTTTGATTATATTTAATGCACTTTACCAATGTAGAGTTCTTGAAAATTACCAAACTTCTGAATAAGTGGGAAGAGAACTCAGTATCTTCAGTGGTGACAAGCGTGACGACTGCCAACAGAACCTTGCTTCAAATGACTCATTCTTGCCATTTAGATTCTATCCCTCAGACTTTTAATGCTCTAATGAGTACTGATGTTATAGTGTAATTTGTTTTACTGAGTTTAATCTGTTAATTAATTCATATGAAGCCAGCAATGACAAGAAACACCACCTGTCATTGGCTCTTTTAAGTCGAGAAATAATTATAAGAAGACACGGAAGGGGACAAACTTCAAAATAATGTCGCGACATGATCGTCTGAAAGTTACAATTCTCAAGCGCCTCACGCAAAACTTAATCATCATTCTAGGAATTCCGAAAATAAATATATGTATTATATTTATCGCCACTATGAAATGCATTTAACATTTCACAATAATTATACGTTATAATCAACACTACCTCGACAGCAGAGACATGTTTTAAATAAAACATTTCTTATGGGTTACTATTCACCACAAGAGCATTTTTCATACATGGTAAAACCAAAGGGTTCAAGTGTATTATTAGGTAGATAGAAAGATTGCCGGCTAACCATTAATACTGTGAATTATTATTGACTAGCTGGAGTCCTGTAGCAATAAAGCCAAGAAACAACCAATCAAATAACGTACAAATTTCCAAAGTGTATTTTAGTACGTTGAAGTTTTTTTCTGTGTTGCCTTAACATATACGAACTTGGTTTCTAAGAAGGATAAAATTTAACTTGTTTTCTTTGGTATCACGCTAATTTGGTTTTGGTTTCTTTCTCCATTCAGAAAGTGGTATTGTTCACCTCAATCACTTAAAATCCCCACTTGAAGGCTGAAGACGATACGTCCGTTAGGACTAGTCTTCTTGTCGTATTATGGAGAGTAAAAAGAAAGGTTAAAGATTCTGTTAGTAAAACATCTAACTATTTGTTTTTGAATTTCGCGAAAAGCTACATGAGGGCTATCTGCGCTAACTGTCCCTAATTTAGCAGTGTAAGACTAGAGGGAAGGCAGCTAGTCATTACCACCCACCGCCAACTCTTGAGCTACTCTTTTGCCAACGACCGTCACTTTATAACGCCCCCACGGCTGAAAGGGCGAACATGTTTGGTGTGACGGGGAATCGAACCCGCAACCCTCAGATTGCGAGTCGAGCTCCCTAATCACTTGGCCATGCCGGGCCATCTAACTATTAAAAATTTAATGAAATGTAAAAAGTAATTCTATAAGCACCCTTAAAAGACTGGTGTTTTATGGAAACAAATGCTCATGCACATCATTAAAAGGAAATGTTTATCCATTTGCCAATGGAAAATAGTTTTTATTCTATTAGTATTAACTTCTAATCAAAGCGATCTACCCACATAGATCATAACCAAAAAATCAAGGCGGTATTGAGCATAGCTAATTAAGTATGCTGCTCTTATGTTCTTACTAATAAAGATTAGAATGCATTATCTCGTCAGTTCAGTACCCTCGCCATTAGCCATGTTTTCAGTAGTAATCTTAATAACATCTCAAGAGGTTCAGCCAGCTTAGGAGATTTAAGTAAACCCTAAGTCCATAAACTAAGCTAACAATGCAAAATAATCTCTATTATAAAATGGCTAATAACCCTTAGTAGTACATATAAATACATCTGTACAATACTATACAAAACCTATGTTAACTAAAACAATCTCTATTATAATATGGCTAATAACCCTTAGTAGTACATATAAGTACATCTGTACAATACTATACAAAACCTATGTTAACTAAAACAATCTCTATTATAATATGCCTAATAACCCTTAGTAGCACATACAAATACATCTGTACAATACTACATAAAACTTATGTTAACTAAAATAATCGGCCCTAAAAGTATATCTTTAGCCAAATATTTATCACAATGTTTGTTTTATCTTCGTAAAACCCCGAGAAAAAATTTACATAAAAGGATGCAAAATCGTTTTGAGAGGGGGGGGGATCTAAAATTCTAATAAATGATAGAGGGACACATTTATTTCTCATACAGCAAAAGATAAATGATCAGGCAGTTCTTAGTAAGGTACACATTGTATAATGAGCTCAACTAAGCAAACGATGTGCCTTTCAGACAAACAGCAATAAATTTGTTTGTTCGATTACCCCTTCAAATGATAAATGATTATTATTTGCTTATATCATCTGATAAAATACAATATGCATGGCCAGGTGGTTAGGGAGCTCGACTCGCAATCTGCAGGTCGCGGGTTCGAATCCCCGTCCCACCAAACATGATCGCCCTTTCAGTCGTGTAGACGTTATATAGTGACGGTCAATCCCACTATTCATTGGTAGAAGAGTACCTCAAGAGTTGGCGCTGGGTGGCGATGACTAGTTGCCTTCCCTCTAGTTTTTCACTGCTAAATTGGGACGACTAGCGCAGATAGCCCTCGTGTAGCTTTGCGCGAAATTCAAAACAAACAAACAATTTATTCGACTGACGCATACGTGTCCCAGCCTGTCATTACAAAAGTGGGCGTCATAATGAACAATGTTTTGACCTCGATTAGAAAAATAACAGACAATGTCATCATGTTGAATTTTTATCCTGTAATTTCGTTCCAATATCCATGTAGTCCAAACTAAACCAAGCGTTTAAATATTCAAATAGAATATTTTATGTTTCATCGAGTTTGAATTTGAACTTTTGAATTTTGTACACAGATCTTTACGGCTTACTCACGAGATTGTTCATATACCAGTTTATCTTAAAATTTAATCTGTGTAGTCCTGAAAAGAATCGTGTTTAAGATAACAGTTACAAGAAATATTCAAACTATACTTATTATATTCAAAACATCTCACTTAGCGAAGGCAATAGAGTACGTCTAAAAATAAAGATGAAATTTCATATTCAGAACGATAGACTTGTATTCAATTTTGCCATTATCTACATAGCCACGTGAAGGGGTGTTCCCAGTTTTACATCCTATTATTCTTAATTTTACCCACAAATTCTTAAACTCTCTATATTCTACGCATATTTTACGCATGAAACAACAATAAAGTTACATCAGTTTACAAATGCTTTCATGCACTTAGTTCACTAATAAACAATACACATGAAACAACAATAAAGTTACACCAGTTTACAAATGTTTTCATGTACTTAGTTCACTAATAAACAATACACATGAAACAACAATAAAGTTACATCAGTTTACAAATGTTTTCATGTATTTTGTCCACTAATAAACAATACACATGAAACAACAATAAAGTTACATTAGTTTACACATGTTTTCATGCACTTAGTTCACTAATAAACAATACACATGAAACAACAATAAAGTGACATCAGTTTACAAATGTTTTCATGTATTTAGTCCACTAATAAACAATACACATGAAACAACAATAAAGTTATATTAGTTTACAAACTAAAAGAATCATATTGTAATCAAAAGACGAAGTGCCCACATTTTTCGTCTGACAATAGAGGGATTGATAGATATAGTAAAAGGCTCACAAAAATACTTTATGAACATAAAAAGTCTAACAACTTGCAAGATTGTTTCATTTGCTTGACAGTCACAGGCAATGATTACATTACATCCCACGTTACTGAAGAGGAGAGGACAGTATTAGCCCGATCCTTATTTCAAATTTATACATATGCAAACACTGGTCCAATTTCTTTGCATAACATAAAATAAATCTCTCGCTTTGTCATAAAAAAATACGAGGATTTCTGAATCCACTTACATATTTTTCCAAACAAAAGTTTTCCAATGAACCATTTTCAGTTGTTTTTTTTTATCCACTTTGTTGGATTCTCAGACTTGAAAGTTTCATTGAACTGTGGGTTGCCCGAACGCGTCATAGGACAACTTGGCCTCTACATTTTAGCATCAATGCATGACGTAAAATGAATTAATAGTTATTTTGTTTGTATGTAATTATTCTATTTTATTTAATGGTGATTATTTTATTGTAGTTGTATGTGATTATTTAAGCAGTTTGCTTCATATCAAAAAGTTCTACTCGAAAATAACACAGTTTCGTATATTTTAAATTTTTGGCATGAGTTTTTTAGCACAAACGTTACGCCGACCATATATCTCAGCCACTCAGGAAAGGTCTGGTGTTTTGGTTTTGTATTTTAAAGTTTCGTATATTTCAAATCTTTGGCATGAGTTTTTTAGCACAAACGTTACGCCGACCATATAGTCTCAGCCACTCAGGAAAGGTCTGGTGTTTTGGTTTTGTATTTTAAAGTTTCGTATATTTTAAATCTTTGGTATGAGTTTTTAGCACAAACGTTATACCGACCATATGTCTCAGCCACTCAGTAAAGGTCTAGTGTTTTGGTTTTATATTTTAAAGTTTCGTATATTTGAAATCTTTGGCATGAGTTTTTTTAGCACAAACGTTACGCCGACCATATGTATCAGCCACTCAGTAAAGGTCTATTATTTTGGTTTTGTATTTTAAACTGAATCGAATTGTTGTACACGAAAACATAATGTTTTATAAACATAGAAGATATAATATCCGATTACAAGCTACCTTTCGAAAAACACAAATCGTTAGTATTGTGTACTTATTTTAGGTAGTTTATACAATAAAAAATATATTTCGTAAACGCTACTTTTGTAGGTTGATTAGTTTTACGAAAAGTCATAAAGGTTTTAAAG